CCCCCCCCCCCCCATATTTCTCTTCACTTATATTTTATAAATCATTAATAATAATTAAAATGTTCCCATCTTTCCTAATTTAATTCTCTCATTCACTTTATTTCATTTATTTATTAACAAACATTCCACTAGATTACGATAAATATTTTATCCATCATTTTAATCATATTTTCTAAAATTATTTCTATTTGTAATATAACAATACTATCTTATGTACCTTTGCAGAATTTCTTTTACAATTAAGTTTTCACCCATTATCTCTAAACAGGCTTATACTTTCAATTCTTATACCTTTCCCCTGTTTCTCTATATCTTGTTTCTGTCCTTTATAACTTCTTTTCCTTTCCTTCTTCCCCCTCTTCTTCTTCCTCCCCTTTCCCTCCTTGTCTCTCTACTTCTAATTCTCTCTTCTGTAATCCCCCCTTCTGTTGCTTTCTAATATTATATTTATTTTTCAAACTATTCTGTTTTTGGTTGTTTTTTCAAATCTTAAACTTTTAATTCTCTTTTCCCCCTTTCCTTTTCCCCCCACATAAAATTACTTGATCATTAAAGATGGCTTCTTCTTTGTCCCAGTCTTCTTGTTCTGCAAGCATTTCTTGTTGTTTCTCATAGTTCCAGATCTCCATTTCTAAGAGTTGAAATACGAAGCCAAAAGAGCCTCTCCCTTCTTGTGCATCTTCTTTGTACTTTTAAAGTTCCATTTTCAGTTCTTCTAAAAGTGGTGCCATTTTAAACACTTTTAAACAACCACCTGATTGATTTTAGTCATTTAAATGCAATAACCAAAAATCCAAAGATCACCAAGTAATTCAAATAATCCAAAGCTGTGTCTTCTTGCTTCTTTTTTCTACTTTCTCTTCCTGGGGTTCTATTATTTTGTTGCCAAGTTTCAGTTAAAATGTATCTTTTAGGAATCTTGTTGAGGTTTCACTGTACATTCCTGTTAGGGATATACACCCTAGCAGAATCTGCATGGCAGTCAGGCAGGTATGTGAGATAAACGTTTTTGTAGCTTACACTCAGTAAAACAGATACAATGTGCTAGTTAAATAGTTTATTCCAGTAATAGTTATAGCATAGTCAAACAGTCCATATATCATTCACTAGTTCAGTCCGTCCGGAGATTATCCAGTTGCAAAATCCAGTGTCGAAAAAGAGATCAGTAAACTTACAAATATCAGTCCTGTAATATATCTCTTCTCAGTTAGAGATATGAAGAAGTCAAACCTCTTTTCTTCCTTCAGCAACAGCAAAGAACACGCAGTTATCAAACCATCAATCCATCATCGTCTGCAAGCAATCCAGTAAGCCAGCAATCAATCAAGTTCTCTTGCTCCCTCTTATGGCGATTTTACAACCGCACCCAAAATTACATGCTTTGCAGTTAAAGTGACACACACATAAATTCACTATCATAGTTTATATATATTATTTTACCCAAACTACGTTAGGTAACCTATGTTATTCCTAACAATTCCCTTTAGTTCCAGGCAATCTCCTCCATTTTTCCAGATCCTGCCCTTTTATTCTTTTTCTCTCCTTTCCTGCTTTTAAAAGCTTTTAAGTACCCAGAAATCTTTATTATCCCTTTGACATTTTATTTTCAGCTTAAATGCCTATTGATGTCAAAGTGGATTTTTTTTCAATTTCTTGCTTAAGTCTCTTAGCTGTCAGTATAGGGAAGGGAAGAAAAAAAAAACCAAATCTTTTCCCTTCCCTCTCTCCTTCGCTGCTTCAAAATCTTCTTTGGGAACAATGTTATTTTTTTATAGTTTAAATTCCAGGGTATCTTACATTGTTGCTTTTGCAGTTTAACCCGGGTCAAACCAAAACTTTCTCTTCTTATCTTCCTCCTGCACATTCTTTTCCAGTCGAGTTCTTCGGTGGCCATTTCTGACCATCGCTGCAACTGCCTTCGGGAAAGGGAGTAATGACCAGCTGAGGAGGAGAGATGTGGCTCTCCTCAACCCTACTGGCAGTCTCCCCCCTCTCCACCACCTCTACGGGGTGGCTTAGCCCCAAAACCAGCCGGCTTGGGGTGCTCCAGTGGTGAGCATGGATCAAAACCATGCAAGATCGTGGTTTCGGTCTTTCGGTGAAGGAACTCAAACCGGAAGTCTCAATAGTACTCAATCTTTGATGTATTAATTAATCAGAGTTTTAATATAGTATCAGACAATGTAGAGAAGCAAATGATACATTTTCAAAATGTATCCTGAATTTATTGTTCATCACATGAATACAATATGCTATAAACTGATTCTGTATTAAATGAATTTAATTTGTACCTATTACTTTGGTTTGTTCAAACTACCACACCATTGCACTCATTTCATATGCTAGTAAAGTTATGCTCAAAATCCTACAAGCTACGCTCCAGCTACCAGGTAGGATTTCAAAAAGGCAGAGGAACTAGAGATCAAATTGCCAACATACACTGGATCATGGAGAAAGCTAGGGAGATCCAGAAAAACATCTACTTCTGCTTTATTGACTATGCTAAAGCCTTTGATTGTGTGGATCACAACAAATTAGGGCAAGTTCTTAAAGAGATGGGAATACCAGACCATCTTATTTGCCTCTTGAGAAACTTATACATGGGTCAAGAAGCAAAATTGGAAAGGAGTCCGGCTATGCTGTATACTGTTGCTCTGCCTATTTAACTTATATGCAGAATGCATAATGAGAAAGGCAGGGCTAGATGAATCAAAAGTTGGAATTAAGATTGCCAGAAGAAATATCAACAACCTCAGATATGCAGATGATACCACTCTAATAGCAGAAAGTGAAGAAGAACTAAAGAGACTCTTGATGCAGGTGAAGAAGGAGAGTACAAAAGTTGGCTTGAAACTCAACATTAAGAAAACTAAGATTATGGCATCTGACCCTCTCAATTCCTGGCAAATAGATGGGAAAGAAATGGAGGTAGTGACAGATTTTATTTTCCTGGGCTCCAAAATCACCACAAATGGGGACTACAGCCATAAATTAAAAGACACTTACTTCTGGGGAGGAAAGCTATATATAGACAGCATACTAAAAAGCAAAGACATCACCCTGCCAAAAAAAAGTGTGTTTAATCAAGGCTATGGTTTTCCCTGTTGCAATGTTTGGCTGTGAAATTTGGACCATAAGAAAGGCTGAGCATCAAAGAATTGAGGCCTTTGAACTATGGTGCTGGAGAAGACTCCTGTGAGTTCCTTAGACTGCAAGGCGATGAAAGCAGTCAGTCCTAGAGGAGATCAACCCTGACTCCTTTTTAGAAGGCCAGATCCTAAAGATGAAACTCAAATACTTTGGCCACCTAATGAGAAGGAAGGACTCACTGGAGAAGAGCCAAATGCTGGAAACAATTGAGGGCAAAAGAAGGAGATGACAGAGAATGAGGTTGCTGGATAGAGTCACTGAAGCAGTAAGCGTGAGCTTAAATGAGGATGGTAGAGGACAGGAAGGCTTGGAGGAACATTGTCCATGGGGTCAGACATGACTTTTCAACTAACAACAACAACACTTGGATTTCAACCTGATAGGATACAGTAGGAATGTTTTGGATTTCAGGGCCATACTTAGTCTTAAATTATATTTTGGAGATTATACCCTAAAAATGGGTCATCTGGGAAAAGAAATGAACATAATTTTATGTTATATAAAATTATTTTTAATTTTTAAAATGAGGAAATGAACAAGCAATACTTCCTTTCTTAATATCAAGAAACATCACATAAATTATAATTAAAATTTAATATTTAAGTGGTGATATCTTTGGGCACAAAAATAAGCCTAAACCTCTGTTATTAGATATTTCTCCTTTTCAAATATTCAGTCTTTCCTTTTAGAATATCGGAAATACACAAGCCAGACTACAGCAACACCCCAAACTAACAGTAGGAGAAGGATTGTCTAACTCTCATGGGGCAGCTGTTTCAAGATCAAGAACTGAAATGAAAAGCCATGAGGTTACATAGCTTCACAGAAGAGACATGGAGAACACCCACCCTGCCTGATCTGGTGGGTGGATAGAGATAATCAGAGATAGCAGAGGCTCTGACTTTCAGCTGCTGCTGCTTAATGCCTGATTGGTCAATAATATAATTGTGATTAGAATGGCCTATGATAACCTGTCTTTTCAGCTGCATGTATTGCTCTTATTTCAGCTTGTTCAAAACCTACAGTTTTTACAACAAGTGTCCCCAGCAGATCGGATAACAGCAGCAATAAATCAAAGCAAGGTTATAAGTAATCAGATTGCCCGAATCCTTTCCCTGAATTATTTTCTCTCTCTGAGCCACAAACTTTCTTTTTAATTCAAAGAGAAGGGGTCAGAGATCCCCCCTTCAGCATCTTTGCATCTTTACTATCTCAAAAACTCAATCTACAAAACAAGAAAGAGAGTGTAAACCCTTGCTCACTGATTATTTTCAAGAGGAAAGAGGCAAACAGCTTGAGTAGCACTTGAAAATATTTCCTCTGTTCATGTTTTAAAACCTTGTTTGACACAAAGGAACTGCTGTTTTCCAGCCCAGGAAAAGAGGCCTCCTGCCAGTTTATTAGGGGTTATAAACCTATTCTCAAATATCAGCAACAGCTAAGCAAAGCAATAACTCTTTATTTGCTGACTCTCAATACTACTTCATTACTTTCATTATCTCAAAACTTATAACTTTCTACCTTAAGACCTATATCAAAGATTAGATAATGATTTCTCCAAATCAATTTCTTTAAAATAATTAATTTTTATCAAATGCTTAATTAATTTATTGTTTTTATTGATTAGTGTGATTGAGTGTTTAATGCATATAGTGTGATTACTGAATATCTGATTAGTAAAATCAGTGATTTAGTGAATTTAATTGACCAGTGTGTTTAGTAATTACTGCAATTAATTAGGATGTTTGTTGCTTAGCAAAAAATTTTGATTAGAGTGATTTGAATAATCGATGGATTGATTGATTTTTAGTAATAAGTAACCTTACTTTTGATTTGTTCTCTAATGCATCAATTAACATTTATTAATTACCAACATTCATTAACTGTCTACCTATCACATTAACTAGCTATTGTAATTGATTACTGTACTATTGCCATTGGCCATGCCAGCCAAAAACTCCAAACCAAAACAAAAGAAAAATATCTCTACCAATGACCTCCCAGACATGTTTCAGATGTCTTGAAACCATCAATGAAAGCAAAATTTACATCAAATGCTGCCTATGCGACAATGAAGCCCACCCTGCCTGCTTAAAAGCAAACAAAAGCCTAGCTGATATGGTTAAAAAATCAGATACATTCTCTTATCTATGTCCATCATGTTCTCCTAAGCTAAACAAACTGAGTACCCTACCTGACAGAGTTGAAAGCATAGAATCACTCATTCACTCAATAGAAGAACGCTTAGCAACACATTTTGAAACAACTATACAAGCAAGCCTAATCTCTCTTGAAAATAATACAGCACAGGTAAGTGAGTACCTATCAGCTCAAAATCAAATTCCACAACAACCATAACCAATACCTCAACTACAATCACAACTACAACCAAAAATAACCACCAAACCACAGCCACAAACAATTACTATCCCATCAAATAATTCCTCAAATAATATCCCCTTACTCATCAAAGACATCATGGAACATGAATAAAAACATCTAAATGCCATCTTATTTGGTCTCAAAGACACCAACGAATCAGACGACATCACCAAAGTTCGTGATATCATAAGCAACTCAAATACAACAAACATCTCTCCTGAAGATATCATTGAAATAACCAGAGATGGCCCTGGGTACAAATACAATGACAGCTCTGTGGCCCCAAGATTTTGTAGAGTTGTATGCAAAAATGAGTCCAGCAAACGCATATTCATTCATACAATAAACGCCATTGCAAAAACCAATCCCAACCACAAAAAACTTCGCTCAAGACCAGACTTATCCATACTGCAATGAATCCACTCTCGTGAACTCTGCTCAGAACTCAAAAACCATCTAGACAATGGAGAAAAGGACCTATACATTGACTACCAAGCTGATTGCATCAAAAGAAAGTCACATAACCCACAACTCTGCATCCAACCCCGCCCCATCCAATCTAATATCACTCAAAACTAGGCACGCACACCCCTAACTACATCTATTCCAACCACAACTGGCCTTAAATGCAAGCTACTCAATGCAATAAGCCTTGTAAATTACAGTATACAAGTTCTATAGAATTACAGATTGACTGGGTCTGGAGAGGATGAAGTCCCTTTTCTGAAATGTGCCAATGGGATCTCAGGCATGCCACCAACTGAGGCCACAGAGCAGGGAAGGAGAATAAGATTTGTCATTTAAGAGTCTTTGTTGACCTTCAGAATCCTGTTTCACAAATTGTTGGCTGTGAATCCCTGATTCTAAAGGTGGGCTTTTGGAATTGGGATTTTTGATACTGCATCAACCTCCTTGCTGCATAGAAATCTCATTCTCTGAATTGCTGGAAGCTATCTCGGAATTGATCGTGGAGTTCTTTAAATTATTTTATTGGCATTATAATAAATAATGTATTTATATTTTAACATTCATCTTTGGACACCATTTGCCCAAATGTTTATTTTTTTTCTACAATACACATATTTTATTATAATTCATTGCACAGATGTTTAGACTGTATTTGGTATTTTTTTTCCAACTATCCTTCCCAAGGAATTATGATAAGCAGATTACATATATTAAAAACATTGCCACAGAATATAAATATAAATTGTTCAGAATAACACTGCATTTTGCAATTAATTGGTGGTGGTTTTGTTAATGAAAATAGTTTTCAAATAGTGCTTCAATAATTTTGGGAGTACACCCAGGGCACCTATTTCTATTCATACCATTCCTGCTTGCTTTCACCATAGTCATTTTATTTCTGTTTGCAAGGCTTTGGATGTTGTGATTTTCTCCAGTTCTTTCTCTTCTGTTCTGCTGTTTGAAACTGCTGCAATGTCCACTATCCAGACTTTTTTTTGGTCTTTATTATTAAAATTGTTAAATCTGGGTGTTATTTGCAGGTTTTTGGATTATAAGTGCCAGAGCACTTTGGCTTCTTCATTGTTTATTACTTTCTCATTTTGTGGCCCTAACAGATCTTGCTTGCAGGCATAGTATTTCTTGCCCTATGCCCTTGTTGCTACATGCCCTTGTCTGTAATTAGTGTGTGTGATCTTCTTGCAGCAGCTAACGAAGTGGGCCACTATTTCTTCAACTTCTTTGCAGAGGTAGCATTTGCTATTTCTTGATGCCTTCTTAATTCTAACTTTGTATATATTTTTTCTGCTGGCTGTGTAAAAGTTTGCCTTGACATTTATTTATTTTTTGCTACTGCTTTATTTGGTCTTTCTTCTAAGTTATAAATTTATAAGCTTAACTATAAGTTTATCTAAATTTGTAGATTGAACCCTAAATGAATGTACATCCGAACCCATACATGCAACCCTGTACAATGGTGTTACTACACTGGGACTGGATCAATTAGTAACGAACAACACTAGACTCAACAACTGCTCACCCTCAATATATGGACTACAAATACAAGAACTCTTTTCAAACTATGACCACAATATGATTAACTTTTGACTCAATTTACACCCTCACAAAGAGGACCATAATGATGGATCCCCAAAATACAAATTCAAAAAAGCCAACTATGATCTCATAGATTCCGACCTATCATCTCTTGTTTGGCACATTCTGTTCTCTAGCTGTAATACTACAGAAGACAGAAGACCATCATAATGCATTCTTGTTTGAATTTGAAAGAGTCATTAAACTGTACATATAGTACAGACTCTAGGATGGCACATGTAACACTGCTGTTACATGAGCTGAATTGGTTTCCAGTTGCTTCTGGGTCCAATTCAAAATATTGGGTATCACCCAATGCCCTTTGTGATATGGGACCAGGTTATCTGAGGCACTATTTCTCACCATGGGATTTGTGGAACCCACTCCTGTACTGTCATTGCCCATCTTTTTAAACTTTATTTGTTTAATTGTTGTAATTCTTAATTTAAGATTTTAATAGCTACATTTTAATACTATTGTGAGCTGCCCAGAATCACCTGAGAGATAAGAAAAAGCAGCATATAACTTTAATCAATCAATCAATCCAAATAAATATTGACACAATTATAACCATTGTAATCAGTGTTGGAGAAATTTTTAAGACAAAAGAAGTCTCTGTAGATACGCAGGTGTATGCAATACTGAAAATCTACAGATTTCTAAAAGTTCTTTTCTCTAATTAAAACAACCAATCTCCAAAGAACATCACTAGGGAACTGTGGGGCAGTATAAAAGTAGTTTGACATAGAGATTACATATTCAGAGAGAATAAAAATAAACTTGTTGCAGCTTATATGAAAACTGGTTGAATAGTATTATTACAGTTTTTAAATTTTATAAGATTCCATTTATGTTTCTGTAATGCTCTAATTTGGACATCTGCAAGCCCTCTAAAAGCCTATTTAAGGTGGACATGATTTCAACACTACTGCTTGTTTCCTACAACTTCCTCCCCTCCCCAGAAATTTAACCACTTTGACTAATTAGGAGCATTTGGAAGCCTGGTTTACAAACAAAAAAAAAGGTTTCAACTATTTTGTAAGATTTAATTGCTTTGGAAAGCTTCTCTATGGATTTTTTCCATTATCCTTATATATTTTGAATATATATAATAGGGATATTTATTTATAGAATAGAATTCTTTATTAATAGAATGAAAAACAGTCTACATGCCAAGAAAGAGCATCTCTACACAAAGTGATGTGCTGTTTCATTCCCTTGCATCACAAACTTGAACATGGAGAACTCTTCCACTGTTACAAAATTCATCTTGATAGGTTTTTCGAGTTCCGTTGAAAAGCAAATGGTCATCTTTTGGACTTTTCTTCTCATCTATGGAGTGGCTCTGGTAGGAAACTTTCTAATCATCCTTGCCATCAGTGTCTGCAGGAAACTTCACACACCCATGTACTTTTTGTTAATCAATTTGTCTTTTATAAATGTAAGTTCAATTTCTATAATAGTTCCCAAATTACTGCAAATTCTTTTAACCCAGAGAAAGACTATTGTATTTCCTGGCTGCATTGCACAGGTATTTCTCTTTACTTTGACTTTAGGAACAGAGCTCCTGCTTCTTGCATTTATGGCTTTTGATCGCTATGCTGCTATTTGCCAACCTCTGCAATATACAGTAATCATGAGGAAGGAGGTTTGCTTTGGGACAATGTCTGGGCTATGGCTGATAGGTATAATAAATTCCTCAATTCAGACAGGACTTGTATTAAGACTTTCCTTCTGTGATTCCAACATCATCAATCACTTCTTCTGTTATCTACCACCAATGTTCAAGATCTCTTGTTCAGACACAAGCCTGAATGAAATCATGGTTTTTGCAGCTTCCATTGTTATTGCTATAGGCAGCTGTACCCTGACCTTCTTATCGTATTGGTTTATACTGAGGAGCATCTTCAGAATCCGTTCCACAGAAGGAAAGAAGAAGGCCTTCTCCACATGCTCTTCCCATCTCTTGGTTGTTAGCTTTTACTATTCCACCATTATCTATACATTCCTCCGTCCTGCTTCAATGTACTCTTTAGAGGAAGACAAGGTGATTGCTATTATTTATTCTGTTGTCACTCCAGTCCTCAATCCCCTTATATACTCTCTGAGAAACACTGATGTTAAGCAAGCTCTCAGAAAATTAATTGACAGAAAATTCTTCCAGCAAGATCTGTTTTAATGAATTATTTAAAAATGAATATATTTATTATCTTCATGTGAGTGACAAAATATAGGGTATATATCTTTCTCACCGCTCCAGACATGATTATCCCAGATTGGAGAAATAAATATATATATATCTACATTGCATAATATAAAACAGTAAATATTTTATTTGTATGTTTGTGGTTATGTTTAGAAAAGATGTAAATAGTTTCTGTAAATGCTTTTAATTAAGTCATCTCCAGAACAATAATCAGGGTTTTAGTTATTAGAACAATTTTGACTATATTAATATGCATTAATGCACTTTGAATCTTCCAGAATTTTCAAAAACTGGCTGAAACAGAAGTGATTTAGAGTTAGCTTTATTTGAAGAGAACTTAAATCATTTCTCTTGATTAATATTGTATTCCTGTTTATAAGATGTAATTTATAAAATGAAATGTTGCTGTAGTAGAAATGTATGAAATATACAATGGCAATCAATATTCTACTGTGCTTGTGATTTGGTATACATATAAAACAGAGATAAATATTACTTTTTTACAATTGATTGAATTTAATGAATAATTTTACATCTCATTTTCTTTTTAATTGGTTTTTTTAATTATTTTGATATATGCAGTATATGATTAGTGTTCTTTTATAAGATATATAATACACTTAATTTTATTTAGGCTATAGCTTGTTAAACACATACAGCCAATTTTTCAATTTGGATACAAGGTAATTAAGATTTGCATTATTTTAGCAGCCTGCTGCATTTCATATTGGAACCTTAGTGTTAGAAGGAAGTAATGTATGTTTCATATTGAGAAGGCAGCAATGCAACATTTAAAAATAAATGATTTATTTATAAGTACTTGTTGTATGGGATAGTGGGTACTGTATGATATGAAATTACAAACTGTAAGCAATTTCATGCTTTTTATATATTTAAGTTATTTTTAAATATCAGTAATAATTTGTGTTTCTCAATCCCAAAGGTGGGCACAAGTTTGCCATATAATATTGCACACTGACTTATTTACTCTGTGAATGCATACATGTCTGTAGCAAACTTAAAAAAAAATCCAATTGGAAATATTTTCAGTTTCTCAGAAACCAAAGATATAGCTTGTGGCAGGATTAATTGCTTCAAGGTGCTGTAATTAGTTTCAAGAGATGAGTTTTTCACTTTGTACCAAAGTATCAGATGAACACATAGAAACTTCTTGCCCAATTAAAACCTTGTGAGCCAGCTGTCTTTTCTTGAAAATATGTAACACAGGTTGTGGGTGTTGTATTGCACTGTGTAGATTCCAGATGCTTGGTTATCTAGGGGCATAGGCAGACGTTGGAGGAAAGCAGACAAGTTTGGAGAAAGGAACTCATTTCAACCTCATGAATATTTTTAAACCTCATGAATATTTTTAAACCTCATGAATATTAAGATGTGTAGCATAAAATAAAGATCATGAGGTTGAAAAACATTGCTCTAGAGAAAATAGAAGACAGATATATCAAAATCAGGAATCATAAAATGGAAGAAAAGATGGCAATAATTTAAAATGACAGACTACAATTTCACAGAAAAGGAGGAAAAAAGAGTCACAATGTTATGGGTTTTGATGAAGCTCAAAAAAGAGTCATTTTCCCTGTTTCCATCTCCCTCTTTAAGCTAAAAGCAAAACCAATAATGCCTTTAAAAGTAAACATCCAAAACTGGAGATGTTTATTCTGAAATGCCTATTAAACTTGAGAAGGAGGCAGGGAGGCTGTTAAAACACTGTAAAAATTTCATGCATTTATTAATTATTTAATAATTACACCAAATTTATATATCTCACAAACAACAATTATGGGTGGCATCCAACATAAGTAAAGTGTATGTGTGTATAGAAAGTGAATAGTGGGGGGTATTAAAATGAAGGAGGAGGAGGAGGAGGAGGAGGAGGAGGAGGAGGAGAAGGAGGAGGAGGAGGAGGAGGAGGAGGAGGAGGAGGAGGAGGAGGAG